CCTTAATACGTAATTATTTAGTCTATAAGACACACAGACATTTTCACCCACTTTGGGGTGACAAAAAAGTGTGTCTTATAGTCCGGAAAATACGGTAATCCTCCTTAATACGTAATTATTTAGTCTATAAGACACACAGACATTTTCACCCACTTTGGGGTGACAAAAAAGTGTGTCTTATAGTCCGGAAAATACGGTAATCCTCCTTAATACGTAATTTCTCGGTCTATAAGACACACAGACATTTTCACCCACTTTGGGGTGACAAAAAAGTGTGTCTTATAGTCCGGAAAATACGGTAATCCTCATTAATACGTAATTTCTCGGTCTATAAGACACACAGACATTTTCACCCACTTTGGGGAGACAAAAAAGTGTGTCTTATAGTCTGGAAAATACGGTAATCCTCATTAATACGTAATTTCTCGGTCTATAAGACACACAGACATTTTCACCCACTTTGGGGAGACAAAAAAGTGTGTCTTACAGTCCGGAAAATATGGTAATCCTCATTAATACGTAATTTTCCTTTGATGGCGCTTAAATTGAGCAACTCCCGGGGGGGGGGGTTGGGGAGGGGGCAGAGAGGTTGCCGGGCAATAAAACACCCATCGAAAGCAACCTCTTGATAAGTGGGATTTCGGAGACGGTCCTTGCTGGCTCTGGCTCAGCACCGCACATCGAAGGAAGCCCCCCGGCGCTGGGAGTCATTCACGGAGACCATTTAAATAAATTATCCTGCTGTTTGTTTCGGTCCCTTCTAAATTAGCCGGCGGGGCAGGAATTTCTGGAAACGTGTTCAGCTGCGTTGTCTCTTTTCTCCAGGGGCAGGCCGAGAATCCGCGGCCTGAAACGGCCCATCGTTTCATCTCCCGCCACTCTCAGCCCCAGTGGAGACCTGGGGGGATCGTCCATCCGCCAGGAGGGGGCGCTCTCAGGGAAGGCGGCAGTTCCTGGACCGGGGGCCAACCAGGCGGGTACTGGAAAACCAATTCTTCTTCGGGAAGAGGACTAGGGAGAAAAAACAAATGTTTTCACAACGCCATTCTTTACGCTTTGAAGCACACAAAATTTCTATTGCTGGGCAGAACGGTTGCTAAACGAGTCCTGTCCCACTTTACGACCTTTCTTGCCACCATTGTTAAGTGAATCGTTGCAGTTGTTCGGTTAAGTAACCTGGTGGTCCCCAAAAATGATCCCCATGACCTTGGGACACTGCAACCGTCATAAGTAGGAACCAGTTGTCGAGCGTCTGAATTTTGATCATAGGATTATGGGGCTGTGAGTGGTGCGGTGGCCTAGAGCTCACCTCACAATCAGGAGGTCTGTGAGTTCAATCCTAAGTAGAGGCAGATATTTCTCTCTCTGGGCACAGTGAGGATAAATCTGCCGAACAAAACTCCGCATTGGCGACAGGGAAGAGCATCCGGCCAGTAAACACTCAGCTCCATTCAGTTGCCCAGACTCTGCCCCGCAAGGGATTATGGGGTCTTTAAAAGACGATGATGATTATGGGGCTGCTGCTAAAGTTATAACTATGAAAAAGGTTGTACGTCCCTTTTTCCTGTTGTAACTTTGAACAATCACTGAGTGAACGGTTGTAAGTCAAGGACTACTTGTATACCGTCCAACAATAAAGCCAAGTTCTGAAATTTCTTGCAGTATCCATTTTGTGGAGCTGGGATACCTCGAAAGGCTGGGCAACCTTCGGCTTCCCTTGCCGATGGCGGAGAACACATACCTGTCTGTCTCAGCTGCCCGTCGCCGTTTGGCGTGTTTCTCCAACCATTCTTCGACCGTGCCCATCGGGAGCGCCGTGCCATCCTGCTGCCCCTCTTTTGCTCTCCTCTCCTCTGTTTGGAGGATAAGGGGAGAAGATTAGATTAGATTAGAATAGGAAAGAACAGAACAGAAATTAGAATAGAATAGAAATTCGAATAGAACAGAATAATAGAATAGAATAATAGAACAGAATAATAGAACAGAATAATACAATAAAATAGAACAGAATAATAGAATAGAATAGAATAATAGAATAGAATAATAGAATGGAATAGAATAATAGAATGGAATAGAACAGAATAATACAATAGAATAGAACAGAATAATACAATAGAATAGAATAATAGTATAGAATAGAATAATAGAATAGGAATAATAGAATAGAATGGAATAAAATAGAATAGAATAATAGAACAGAATAATAGAATAGAATAGAATAATAGTATAGAATAGAATAATAGAATAGGAATAATAGAATAGAATAGAATAATAGAATAGAATAATAGAACAGAATAATAGAATAGAATAGAATAATAGTATAGAATAGAATAATAGAATAGGAATAATAGAATAGAATAATAGAATAGAATA